CTTCTTCCAGACGGTTAGGCGTCAAGGTCTAGAGCATCCAAGAGGAATTGTGGATCGCCGAGTGACCGAGTTTATGAAGGTTCGGAAGTCATCTGAAGACTTACCACGAGTGATTGGGCGAGGTCTGTGTGACTTTAGCTCAAGGAGAATACGGCGAGGCTGTGTGTCCGGGACTATGTGTCCTTTGGTTTAAATACCTAGCCGCTCCAACTAGATGTACAACTGAGACAGTAGTTGGAACTGGTCTACCAAATCATTGTCTTCACCAAGCTTACTGGTTCTATTTCCTCAACTCTTTCAATTCCTCATTTCACTTGTCGTGTGCTTGTTCATATCTGTTTAAAGACTTTGACTGAAGACTTTCTCAATTTCCTCAGTTCAATTTCTTCAGTCTGTTTGTCTTCATCCTGTGTTATCATGTGTTTACGCTTTCTGTACTTTGTGCTTGTCTTCATTTCATCATGATGACTATGCTTGTGTTCTGTTATGTTTACTTCTGAGTACTTATTCCGCTACAAGTAGTTCTTCGCTAAGGAATTTCCTCACCAGCAAATTCCTCAGTGAAGAATTCATAAAAATCCCCTATTCACCCCCTCTAGTCGATATAACGCACTTTCATGCCCGGACGGTTTTTTATTTCGGCTCATTTTTATCAGCGTCATTGGGATATTTGTGGAGAGGAAGTTACACAGATAGTTCCATGGATTGTCAGAGGGGAGGAGAGTTCCGAATGCATCAATGATACTATTCTTGTTCTCATCCCAAAGGTAACTAATCCCACAAATTTGTCTCAGTACAGGCCAATCAATTTGTGCAATGTGTTATATAAAATTGCCTCTAAAGTAGTGGCAAATAGGCTGAAAGTTATCTTTCCTGACATCATCTCAGAGGAGCAATCTGCCTTTGTTCCAGGTAGACTGATTACAGATAACATCATAGCCTCTTATGAATGTCTGCATTTCATGAAACGATCCACCTCAAGAGGTAACAGTTCATGTGCTCTGAAACTAGATATGATGAAAGCCTATGATAGGCTAGAGTGGTCCTATCTTAGGGCTATAATGGCTAAGCTTGGTTTCTCTCGGCAGTGGATTGATATAGTTATGGGCATGATTGCTTCAGTTTCTTTCTCGGTGATGTTTAACAGTGAGAAACTCGAATCTTTTAATCCTTCAAGAGAGATCCGACAGGGAGACCCAATATCTCCTTACATGTTATTGATCGCAGCAAAGGGCCTTTTGTGCCTCCTGAAATTCAGTTCTCAGTCATTAACCTTATCAGGTATTAAGGTGGCTCCTTCGGCGCCTACTATTAATCACCTTCTATTTGCAGATGACAGCCTGTTGCTTTTTAAGGCCAGTGTGGAGGGAGCAATTGCGGTGTCAAACCTATTGGACAAATATTGCAGCGCTTCGGGACAGAGAGTTAATCATGATAAATCCTCAATTTTTTCAGCAAATGATGCCCCGGTCAGGTTAGAGAAGATGTGAAGAACTCTTTACAAGTTCATAATGAAACTCTCAGCATGTCTGGGGATGCCCACTGATGTTGGCCACTCCAAGAATGGCACCTTTAAATACCTACATGATCGGGTGTGGGAGAAGATCAAAGGGTGGATGGAAAAGATTTTGTCAGCAGCAGGGAAGGAGATATTGATCAAATCAGTGGCACAAGCTATACATGTCTTCTCCATATCATGTTTCAGGCTCCCTAGAGGTTTGTGTGAGAGCATTACCTCGATAATTAGGCAGTTCTTGTGGGGATCCAAGCAAGGAAAAAGGAAGCCATGCTGGGTGTCATGGGATATTATGACACGGCCAAAACACCTTGGAGGTTTGGGATTCAGGGACTTGGAGATTTTCAATTTAGCGCTCCTAGCGAGACAAGCATGGCGCATACAGACAAATAATACATCATTGAGCGCTAGGATGTTAAAGGCAATTTGCTTTCCGAGTTGTAGCTTGCTAGAGGCAGAGTTGGGATCTCATCCTTCTCAGATTTGGCGAGCGATTCTGGACGGCCGAGATATTATGGCTCAAGGACTCATCCGGAGGATTGGGGATGGGACGAGTACGACGATTTGGACACATAAATGGATTCCTTGTGATCACTTTAAACGTCCAATAACCTCTCTGGTACCTAACCCTCCGCTTATGGTTGCTCAACTCATAGTAACACGAACGTCTCCTGGAATGAGAATCTGGCCAGGTCGATGTCCACTCATTTTGATGCAGAAGAGATCCTCAAAATACCGCTGTGCACACGTACAATTCCAGATTTCTGGGCTTGGCATGAGGAAAGCAAGGGAATTTTCACAGTCCGGTCTGCTTACCGAATGATTTTGCGCACTAAGTTGAGTAGGGAGTGCTGGATTGACGAGGAAGCAGGCACATCAAGGAACCAGTCTGAGAATAATCAGTGGTCCTCTATCTGGCATATCAAAGTTCCATCAAAACTCCGGGTTTTTGTTTGGAGACTAGCAAGACAATCCATCCCATGCAATGTTCTGCTACACCACCGTAACATGGCTATAACTGAAACTTGTGCTCTTTGTGGAGCTCGGGGCACCTGGAGACATGCCCTACTTTCCTGCCCTATGGCAGGTAGTGTATGGATTCTAGCGCCGGATCATATACTGGAGCAAATGAGTGAGCACATGGAGGATAGTGCAAAGGACTGGATCTTTTCCTTACATAAAATCATGTCCCAAGACAATTTTGTGCGAGTGGTGGTAACTCTATGGGCAATCTGGGGAGCGAGAAGGAAGGCCATTCATGAAAACATCTTCCAAGCACCAGCGACAGTTCATGGTTTCATCAACTCTTACATCATGGAGCTGCAAGAGATAAACGTAAAACCTTCACCTGTTGTTGCTATCACCGCGCCACAACGCAGGTCTCTCCGGATCCCGCCGGTTACAGGTTATTCGAAGTTCAACGCTGACGCTGCTGTTTCTAGGCACAGTTTTGGTTCCATTGGTGTCATTGCTAGGGATCAGTGAGGTACTTTCCTGGGTGCCTTAGCTCTAGTGTTCAGATTCATATCGGATCCACCCATCGGACCCACCCACACTAGAAGCCCTTGCTATACGGGAGGCTTTGGCTTTGGCCAATGATCTATATATTCAGAATATACAGGTGGCTTCCGATTGCAAAGCAGTGGTGGACGACATCCAGAAGCGTAGCTTGGCTTGCTATGGTGCAATAGTTCAGGAGATTAGAGATATGTCTGTTTTTTTCACTTCTTGTAATATAGTCTATAAAAGTAGGAGCTCAAATTTTGAAGCTCACAATTTAGCGAAGCATGCACTCACCCTAGAAGGTGACCGCCATGTTTGGTCAGGTCATCCGGGAAATCTTGTGTCCGTCCCTGTAAACATTGTGACGAACTAATAAAGCTTCGCGGAATTGTCTCGAAAAAAAAACCAAGTCTCAGTCGACTGAGTACTGGTCACTCCCAAATACTTCCTCTGTCCCATAATATAAGGGGAAATGTTTCCCTCCGGCCCGCCGGCTGAAGCGACGCGCCGGTCGCCTCTGTCGCTAATGCACATGCCTTTGTGGCCCACATGCAGGAGCGGGCCGCATAAGGACGTGTCCCACTATACACCACACGGACCTTATCCCCTTTCTTCTCCATCGATTTCTTCTCCACCGAAACAGAAATAGCTCCCATGCTCTTCTCCACACACCACGGCAAAAACTCCATGGATCCCCACCTCTTCCCATCTCCTTTTAATCCTGCCTCATGTGCCGTCTGCTCCTCGCGCAGGCCGTCGAGCTAATTTTTGCCAGCGGGAGCGCCGTTCCCTATTTCTCACTGCTTTTCTTGTGTGCAGGGACGCGCGGAGCGGTCACCGCCTGTGCTATGAACCGGCGACGTCTTGCTGCTACGAGCGGTGACCGACGAGGTGCGGGACGACCAGCGGCGACGCGAGGTGCGGCGGTGCTCCAACCGCATGCACGCAAAGCTGGAACCGGCGTTCCGAGGTGCTACAACCGGCATGCGGCCATGCTACAATCAACGGGCGGCGGCGACGACCACTACTGGCGATTTGCTACAACCGCGGTGTCGATAGTTGCAACCGGTGACAAGAAATGCTACAACCGGCCATCCATTTGCTGGAACCGGTATCAGTTTTTGCTGCCGTCGGCCACCGATTTGCTGGAACCAGATGCGTGCTCATCGTCAACGTGCGATATTTGCTGGAACCAGTGTATGTTTTTGCTGGAACTAGCTTTTCCTTTTGCTACAATCTTTTTTTGTTTGCTACAATAGAACCAATTCAAGTCTCCCTTCAGAGTTATTTTGCTGGAACCAATGTTTTTTTTGCTGGAACTAGCAATTTTTTTTGCTACAATCAACCACCGAAGTTTTCTTTGTTGAGGTTAATTTTGCTGGAACCGGTGTGTTTTTTGCTGGAACCTTATAATGAATTTGCTTCAAACCGGCCACTAAGGATTTTGTTAGTTTTTGCTGGACACCGACTACCGCGGCGAGCCGGAGGTGGACCGCGGCGAGCCGAAGGCGGGCTACGCTAGGGATGCTGCAACCATGGCACCCGTGAGCTGGATCTGGTTGTTTTTAGAGCTTCATCCTCAATGAATCGCCACTGGAATCAATCGCGGTCGTTATGCAATTCCGGCGGCCAAGGGGCGGGACCTCGTGGGAGCTCGCGGGGAACGGCCACAACGGCGACGAGGATGGGTGGTGGTGGAGTGCCCGAGGATGGGCGGGACCTCGTCTTGTTTTTCTGTCGAGCAGTGCTAGGAAGAAGACGACACAGATGGGTCAAATCCAACAGCTACGCATGATTTGATCGGGTGGCTGTGCGTCGATCGGCCCAAATTTGGGCCGGTGCACCGGCGCCTAGCACTACCCTAATATAAGAACGTTTTTTGGGCGGAGGGAGTAAAAAAGCTTAGTGAGATTGTAAAAAAAGAAGCTGATCCCTTTGTCTAAAAAAACTGACCCCTTCCCGAATACCGGCCACTGGAAAAATGGCGGAGGTCGCCGGCGACGAGACCCCACCGCTACCTTCGTCTTCCGGCGCCGGTGAATCCTCTCTGCTCTCGTCCCCTACCTCGCCCACCGCCACCAACGGGGACAAGCCGCCGCCGCGCACGAGGAAGCCCGGCACGAAGCACCTCGTTCTCACTGCCTCGGTCCTCCTCTCCTTCCTCGTCGGTAAGAGCATTACTAGTAGAACCCTCAAACCCTCAAACCCTTGTAGCAGTTTTAAGGATTGAGAAGTGCCAGTTTTTGACACTTTTAAGGGTTGAAAAACAGGGGCAAAGACTAGAACCCTCAAATCCAACCCGTAACCTGCTTTAAGGGTTGGATTTGAGGGTTCTAGTCTTTGCCTCAACCCCAACCTTTAAAACTGTCATTTCATATATCACACATTTCATCACATTTCATCATATGACATATCACAAATTTCATCACAATTGACATAAAACAATAATCATTCTAGTTATTATTACAACACCGAATAAAACAATAATCATTCAAATTATTGCAACAATGTTTGAGCAAATAACACTAATTGTTCGAATCAAATAGGACATAGAAAAGGAAAAAAAGATACATCATGGGCCAATGCGCCGCCCATCCAACTGCCAGTGGTGCTCTATTAGATCATCCTGGAGCTGACCATGAGTGGTTGCATCCTCAATCTGACGATGTGCTTGAAGAAAAGCGTGTATGCGAGAAGGGTTTCTTTCCGGTTGCACACGGGTACCAACATTGTCATAGAAACAAGGGAGGTTTAACCCTCTCTCATCCTCTAGGATCATGTTGTGTAGAATCACACAACATTTCATGATGTTCATCAAGGTTTTTTTGTCCCAAAACCGAGCTGGACCACGAACTATGGCAAACCTTGCTTGCAAAACACCGAAAGCTCTCTCAATATCTTTGCGGGCTGCCTCTTGTGCCTTGGTGAAATGAGCCTCTTTTCTTGTTAAGGGCACCCCATTTTTCTCCTTGATGGACTTCACAAGAGTTGCCCATTCGGGATAGATGCCATCGGTGAGATAGTATCCCATTGAGTACTCATTGTCCATGATTTTGTAATTGCAAGCTGGAGCATCCCCAGAAATTAATCTTTTGAACAAAGGAGATCTATTGAGGATATTGATATCATTGAGTGTTCCTGGCAACCCAAAGAATGCATGCCAAATCCATGTGTCCTGAGATGCTACGGCCTCAAGCACAATGGTAGCATCACGGCTTTTACCGCAATACATTCCGTGCCATGCCTTTGGGCAATTTTTCCACCTCCAATGCATGCAGTCAAGACTACCTAGCATCCCCGGCCATCCCCTTTTTTCATTCATTTCCATTAATCTTTTTGTATCTTCCTCGTTTGGTGCCCGAAGATACTGCTCACCGTACAACTTGATGACCAACTTGGCAAACCTATGGACTGACTCCGTGGTTGTATCTTGCCCAATGCGAAGATACTCGTCGGTATAATCCGCGGGTATGCCATAAGCGAGTACCCGCATTGCCGCCGATATCTTTTGATATGCACTAAACCCCATGATACCGGCGGCGGATCTACGACGTTTAAAGTAATATGAGGCGGCCTCACAATCGGTGACAATCTTCACAAACAAACTACGCCGCATTCGGTACCTTCTGCGAAAGAGACGAGGAGGGTATGTAGGTACCTCGGAGAAGTAGTCTTCCATCAAATGTTCGTGTCCGAGAGCGCGGTTCCGGTAGATGGTGACTCGGCCCATCTTCGACCCTCTCCTCTGATCCATCAGCTTCACGCGGTTTTCAAACGATTGCACGTCGATGAGGAGGCTCATCATCTCGACGTCGTCATATTGCAACAACTCCTCAATGTCGGAATCGTCAGATGTCGACCAATCCGATGAATCGGACATGACAATCTCCTCATTGTTCATCTCCATCTGCAAAGGACATTCACTCATTAGTGCTAAAAAATGAAACAAAAAGAAAATGAAACAAAATGAAAAAAAAATGAAAAAACCTCACCTCTCGGACGAGGCGGCGTCGGCGGCCGAGGCAGGGCGGGAGGGCGGCCGGGGGCGCGGCTTGGACG